ATAAGTGAAAGTATGTATTAGTTCAGTAAGCATAAGTAGAATGCTTTTGCCAGCGATTATATATAAGGTGGGCAAGTACTACTGGTATATGTATACTTAGATCTACGTGTAGTGTTCATTTATTGATTCATTTTGTCTATATCGCAACTGTTGCCACTTTGAAATTTTGTGGTGTTAAAAAGGGTTTCACCTACAGTCACCAGAACTTCTCAGTCCTTCTCCACCAGCTAGAAAAATTACTTTTTGCTATGTTATCAAGTATAATATCACTGGCAGTGGAGGGCACCAAAAGCCACAAATTTTGCCAAATGTATAGCAGGTTCTCGATGACATTCTTCATGCTTTTAAGTAACATAGGGCTTCATAGTATCTCTAGAGAGTCACAGAAACTTTATTTCAGTGAAACATAATGTAGCGCCTGCTTGAACTTTATTTGTTCCAGTTATTGCCTATATATAAAAGCTACTTACTTCTTGAGTTTACATGAGGCGCTTCTCCTTGGGAAGAGTATAGCCCAAGAGTCTATCAACTTCAAACGCTTGACTACACGAGTTTTTATGCAACAAATTGAGCCAATCATTTTAAATTTGTGTGTGTACTGTCAGTGAGTAGAAGTCCAAGAAACTCAGCAGTTAGTCTAAGAGAACTTATTAGTGTCGCTGGTTTTAGTTTAGCAATAAGATTTGACACTTTCACTGTACTGTATAACAACTGCACACTGCAGTTTGCAGGCTATGAAGAACTGCACCATGCAATTAACGGTATCTCATTGTCATTGCCAATTTGCCATGATATAAACTACTCATTGGCTATCCCACACTATAGTCAAGGTTAGTACCATGTCCTGTATGCATGGTAGTGTGATGGTACTATACTAGTAGCCTATGGCACCCATAGATATTACAATTTTTATTTTTAATCATATTATCTTTCATCCACTCCTCTAGTCCTGTAGTATAAATGAATGAAAATTTTTTAACAGTACACACAGCATAAAACACATTATCTTCCTTACAAGGAAAAGAGAAATTATCACAGAAAGATAAAAGGGAAAATAGAAAAAAATGCCAAACGAACAAGAATTCATATGGAATACAACACTATACACAAGAAATAATGAATATGTGTACTGTATATATTTGGCACAGATACTAGATTCATTAATACTTGGGAAGTACATGTATTATAGGAACCACCATGCTATCAGGTCATCATGCAATGACACCACTGTCACACCACACCACCTATACTATTAAAAAGCTGTACAACTCAGTTGACTTCATTTCTAACTATCTTCACCCAGTCATGTCTGTTATCCTTATAGGATCCACTGGAATGGGAAAGAGCACCTTAGGAAATTTCCTTCTAAATCCAGACAAGAAGCACGTATTTGAGAAACAAACCTTTGCTGTAGCCACAGACAACAAACCTACCACACAAGAAGTTCAAGTTGAAAAAAAGCTAGTCCAAGTTGATGAGGGCAGCAAATTGCTTCTTCACTTAATCGATACCCCAGGGTTGAATGAAAGTGGTGCAAAAGATTTATCTCACATGATCGATATCATAAAGAAGTTGAATGAGTGCAAAGAAATTAGAGCTTGTATTCTTGTTGTTAAATTCAATGCTAAAATTGATGCACAGTACAGA